ATCCTCAAGTGCAATTCTAAGCACAGCTGGCTTGGAGACAGGAGAGATGGTGTCAGCAGCTAAAAATTTTGACTGAAACTTTAAATTCTTCATTGCATACACATTCCTACATTCATTTGATCAGCAATTACTGAGTAAGCATTTATACCAGTTATCCAGCGAGACACTGAGGATACTAATTTATTCCCCACCTAATCCCTCTGTTCCTGCCCCCTCCTTTCCCTTCATCCTACACTAGCCTGTCTTGCTCCCTCTTGAGTGGGGAGGACAAGATGGAAGGGAGTTTGTTGTTGAATTTTTAGAAACTACTGTATCACTGTCATCCTGTTGTTCATCGATTTCCTCGAGCAGGCACCGGTAACGTCTCCTTTGTCCTAGCCCTGAGATTTTAGAAAGTGCCACATTCGAGGTTCTTTCAGGGTCAGGAGAATGAGACCCATCATTGTTACTGGTTTTTGGCATATTGAATATGCCACAGGGAGTTTGCCAGACTCTGCCGTGCAGGCAGGATACTTTCGGTAGCCTGCCAGATTCTCCAGAGTAAGAACTAAATAATAAGATGTCCTGTGTCCATAGAAATGACTATGGATGTAAATTCTCCATGGGTTTTTCTGGACACAGCAGCTGTTTACTTCTCTGATATATTTGTGAATTCCTTGCTACTCTTATGTCCTTTCAAACTTCAACCAGCAGAGCTCTAGGAAGACCCTCCTTTGCATACACCACTCATAATCTCCCCTCAGCAGTGGCCTCTAAGGACACCCCCATTTTTCTCTGCTGAAATCTCCTCAAAGAGGCACACACAGGCCCAGAATCCCATAGCAAATCCTAACATGGTCATCCTTCCTCTGGTTTCCACATTTGGCCTGCAGACATCTCATTTGGGATTGGACTTAGTGATTACTGCCCTGGACTGAAAGATAAATTCCTGCAGGTACTGTTCTAAGGTCCCTGCCACCACCCTCCTAGCCCTAGGGCAGCCAGCACCGGGGACTGTCCAGCACCCATTCCAGGCACAACCTTTGCTCCGTGCAGTCCTGGAACTGCTTCAAAGGGCCACGGCAGTTTAGCTCTGAGGGGGTTGGTTGAGGCCATTGTTGATGCTGTCTTAAGCCCAATCCTCCCCCTGCCCGACTCCACTTCCATCCATTCCCTCCCCTAAATGCTGATTTCAAGGCTGTCCCTCAGTGCTCACATTCAGGCAATCCAGCCTGAGGCAGACATCGCTACCCTGATGTAGGTGAGAACTTGTGACGTGAATGACAGTCTGGTTCCCTGAGCACCACACATCCGCCTGAGTTCCTGGAGCTCCAGGAAGCAGGGATAAAACTCTCTAAATCAGGGCCTGGAGAGACAGTACAGCCTAGGAGGGCACTTTCCTTGCACTTGGCCAATGTGGTCAGAATGCCGGCACCCCATTTGGTCCTCTGACCCTGCCAAGGGTGATCTCCGAGGGCAGAGCCAGGAATCAGCCTGACCACTGCGGGGTGTGATTCCCAAACCAAAATAGATCAATCAATCAATCAATCAATCAATCAAACTCAAACTAACTTCCAGTAGGCCCAGGGTCCTGGAGAGGATGAGAAAGAGGGTCCTTCACCATCTATGATGTGGGAAGGGATTCTAGGCTGCTGACATTGCTCCACTCTGTTCCCCATCATCGTTCCATGCACTCCCCTTGAGGTGGGGATTGGTTGCAGCATGTGGAACGTCTTTCACCCATTTTCTTTTCCTGTTCTACATTTGCACAGCAGAGCCTGGCAAGCTACCCGTGGCGTATTCGATATGCCAAAAACAGTAACAATAGTGGGTCTCACTTCGTGTTCCTAGAGCGAGCAGATGCCATTGAGCTACACTAACACGTGACAGGGACGAATGGAGATGTTACTGGTGCCTGCTCGAGCAAATCGATGAACAACGGGAGGACAGTGCTACAGTGCTACAGTTCTATATTTGGGAGTGGGTGGGGCATGGGGCACCTATTAACTTGGGACCAAGGTTGAAAGGGAGTTAGGAAAGCATGGTTTGTAGTGGCTCAAGTTGAAGTACGAGGGGAGAGGGGGAGGCGTTCTCGCCCAATCCATGTCGTTCTCTGTCATCCAAGTTCCAAGGCTGTTTGCTGGCTGGAGATCACGTCTCTGTGATGGCACTGCTGCTTGAGCTTTCTTCTTGCTCAAGGGGCTGCATGTCCTCCCAGTTGGCCATCACTCCCATATGCATGTGAGTCTCCTGCCTTGAAGATGACACCCAGCTTCAGGTCAGACAGGTGAGGCTTCTCTGCCTCCCAGCAGAGGCTGTGGCCTTTCGCTTTTTCTACTTTTTCTCTCCATCTCCGCCCTCCACCACTAAAGTCTTACACTTAATATTTAGGCAATGTGATTTTGCCCTCAATTTTTATAAATTTTTTTCTAAGACAATATCAATTATTTGTTAATGAAAAATAAATTGGGGGGAGGTAGGGGGGTTGTCACGACCACTCTACAAGGTACTTGTTGGGCTTTAGAAGCCTTAGACCCAAACAACGCTGGGGAGGAGCAGCGGGGAAGCGTCCCTTAGTGGTGCTCTCTGCTGCCCCCTGTGGCCTAAGTGGCAATGTCTCTAAAAACTGGGCAAAAAGTCCCAGGATCCAGCCTCACTCCACCAAGGGAGCTTTTCTGCTCTCCTTCTTCTTAGCTTACAAAGTAAACTAGGACCCTCCAGCCACAAGTCTGCATCCTACTCCCCTTCCTGCAAAGGCTGAGCAGAATCTGGGGGGAAACCTGACGGCATCTTCGGGTCCTGGTGGCTCTAATCAAGACTGGCCCCAGTTCTTCTGGGAAATAGAAAGGAGTCTTGGTGAATCTCTCACACCCAAGTCTCATGGATTTCTTAGCTTGAAGAGCTTTCTTTCGGAGGACGAAAATACCAGTTAGAAAGAAGGGGAGGCTGGCACAGGCTGGAAGTTGTACTGATTGGTTGACGTGTTCTTGAATGCTACTTGACTTTTCCTCTTGTTTTGTTTTTAAATATCTGAAAATTTCATAAGCTCACCCCCACTGCAACGCGCCTGTGGGTGGGAGGTGTTGCTTTGTAAAGCACAACCTTACAAGGCTCGGAGGGTTCTTGTTCTGGCAGGGAACGGTGCTGGGCACGTGGCGGCTGCCAGGGCACCTGTTTCTTCTTCCTATCCAGCTCTAAAGGGCTGTAAGTAAGCCGGCTCCGGATCCAGAGAACTGGGCCTGTTTAACGTGACTCCTCAGAAAGAAAAGAATGCAGCACCTAGGTCAGTCTCAGGGAAGAAACTCCACAAGTGCTCACCTCATTCCTGAAGCCCAGCAGCTCCCAGCATTGGTTCCCTAGAGAGGCTTGTCATTTTTGTTGGAATCACTTGACTGCTGAATGTGAAGGTCAATGTCAGAGGCTGTACACAGGACTCAGAGTCTCCAGCAAGATGAGGAGGCATCTGGTTCCCAGCACTGCGGGTTTTCTGCCTCTCTGTCCTGCAAGGCTAATTCTGCTTTCCAGTCCCTTCCCAAGGGCTCCGGAGAAGTAGCTCCATGTCTTATACTAAGCACAAAGAAAGATACACGCTTATATTTTAGAGATGACAAACCAAATTCCAAGAATGTAAATGGTTTTTTCTTGACATTTATTTCACCAGGCAGTTGTAAAACTATGTAACATTAAATTTATCATCTGAACCGTTTTTGAAAGAGGCCCAGACAATACTTAAATACATTCACACCGTCCTGGACAGTTCTCTACAAGTTGTTTTTATCTTGCAGAACTGAAACTCTATAACCATCAAACTCCAAGTCCCAGCCTGGGGACCGCCCCAGCCCTTGGTAGCTACCCTTCTACTTTGTTTCCGTGCATTCGAGGACTTTAACTTCTTCAGATGGGTGCAGACAGCCCAACTTGTCCTTTTGTCGCTGGGTTATTTTATTAACATAAAGTCCTTAAGTTTCAGCGTAGATTATTGTCATGAAAAATGTGACCCGGCTAAGAGGTACCTGCACGCCCTCCTCTAATCTCCAGCAGTGTAGGGGTCCTCGCTTGTCCTTTCCCGAGACGAGCTGTGTCCCTTCTGCAGCGCAGGTGGGTGAAGTTGGGGTGGGCTGCGGCGCCTATGGGAAACTGAGCAAAGCGCCTGGGGTTCGGCGCAGGTGAAAAGCAACGCCAGATCGCCGAGCTTCAGCGACAAACCTCTTTTGCTCTCAGCTCACCCCACACCCACGGGGCAGCTCCTCCTCGCCGCCACCCCTCCCCCTCAAATCCCAGAAACACGCCTCAATCCCAGAGACACGGAGCTGACCTGCGATCCCGTGATTTAGAGACACGCTGTCGAGTCCCCAGATCACCCTGGGAGCCAGGCTGAAATGTCAAATTCTGCACCGGGTGGGACCCGGCGGTGGTGTCCGGCTGGCTACTGGCTGCAGTGTGCACGCAGACCGGGAGGCTCAAAGGGCCCGCCGCAGTCCCGCCAAAGCCAGACCGGCCCCCGCGGCGGCCCGGGGAGCATCGGGTACCCGCCGCGGGGCCGGGAGGAGCGGTGGCAACCGTAGCAGCTCGGGTCCGCTCTAATTCCTCCCGGACTCGAGAGAGCCGGCGGTCCTGCGACCCCATCCCGGGCCCTCCCTTGCTCCCCATCAGCAGGTGCGTTCCGTGCCAACGCGCGCAGCCCGCGGGGACCCCCGGAACGAGCTCCGACGGGGGCTCCAGAGTAAAACCCCAACAAACGAGCGCGCGCGAGGCAGTGCGGCGAGCGCGGGCGGGCGGGCGCGGGACCCCCGGAGCTCGGCCGGGCCGGGGGCCAAGGCCCGAGAGCGCTGCGGCAGGCGGCGCGGGCGGGGCGGCCGGGGTCAGGGCAGAGGCCGCGGCCGCGCGTCCCCATTGGCCGGCGCGCAGTGGGCTGCCCGGGCGCGGCGCGGGGGCCGGGGCGGGGCTGGCGGGAGACGCCGCCCCCCCGTGCGGCCGGGCCCGCGCCCGCCCCGCCGCCCGCCGGCCGAGTTTTTAAAGTGGGCCGGCGCCCGCGCCCGCTGGACAGTCGGGAGCGGCCAGCCGCACAGCTCTCCTGAGCCGGCCGTACAATCCTCGGCAGTGTCCTGAGACTGTATGGTCATCTCAGCGGCGCGCGGGCCATTCTCGCTCTCCCGTTCCCTCCCTCCCCTCCGTTTTGATTTTGGCTTTTAGATCCAGCCAGGTGACTCGTTCGGGGGAAGGAAAAAGAAAGGACCTCGGGCTCCCCGCCGGCCCCGCTGAGCTCCGCGTTGACAGCCTCCTCCCACTGCGTCCCGACCCCGCCTCCCGGGCAGGTTCCTTCCCGTCACCTTTCTCCACCCCCGGCCCCCGCACCTAGCCAGCTGCGCGCCAACTGCCGCCGGACTGTGCGGGGCGCTCGGGAACGGCCCGCGCCGCAGGGAAGTGGGCGAGGCCCCCCGAGGAGACAGCGGCTGCAGCCCCCCACCGGCCGGGGAGCCCAGGTGAGCGGCGTGCCCGGCGGCCACGGCGACGATGACAGCTGACAAGGAGAAAAAAAGGTAAAAGGGCATGCGAGCCGGCGCGGGACGGCCGGCCGGGCGAGCGACAAGGACCGCGGGGCTCAGAGGTCGCCGAGGCTGGAGGATCCTGGGTCGGGGGCTTGGAGGGGCTCGAGGGACGCGTTGCTACGGAGGACTCGGACCCCCGTGCGCGCCGCGCCGCCTCGAAAGCGGGGAAGTAGGCCGTGGAGGTCGGCGGTGCTTCTCGGGGGTCCCTTCCAGACCCTCCCGCCCTCCTCCCCCGCACCCAGCTCGCTGCCAGCACGCTGAAGCGTTTCTGCGCTCACTCCACGCGCGCGGGCCAACTTTCTTTCCACTTTGCCCGGGATCTCGCCTGCAGAGTCGCAAGCATCCACACCTTTTTTTTTTTAATTCCCCACCCCTCCGCCCTCGAGGACCCTAGGGGTCCTTCCCTGGGCGCTGGCTTGTGCCCTTGCTGCGCCCCTAAACTGGCCCGGGGCAGGAGAGCGACGCTGGGTGCGTGCGCCCAAGGAGGGGTCAGGGCGTAGTAGCGCGCGCTCTTCCACCCCCCAGACCGCGGGTCCCTGGACCCCAGCGGCGTTTGGAGAAAACCACTTTCCTGGCTCGGTGGGAGAGTGGCAGGTGTCGCGGGGTGCGCGGACGGGACGGCGCGAGCGGGCTCCCAGGGCCGGTCTCGGCGTCTCTCCTCCAAGGGGATAGAGAAGGACAGCCACGACCTGCCGGCCTGCCTTCGAGAGCCGGTCGGCACTGGGTGAGAGGCAACCACTGGCCGGCCTCCCGCCCCCTCCCGGCCGCTCCCGACCCGGCCAGGCCCGGCGCCCTGCCGGCTGCGCTGTAGCGCTCGGCTTGGCTGCACGCACCGAGTCGGGCGTTGCGGGCCGCGGTCCTGAGCGCTCGGCTGCGCGCAAGGCTGCGGGCTCCGGGTCGCTCGGACAGCGGCTCGGCTGCGGGTTCGGGTGTGCAGTGGGACGCGCTGCACCGCCTGCGTCGTGGGAGACCGGGGTGGGGGTGGGCACTGGCCCCCAGCTGGGGGGCTCAGCATGGGACTCGGGCTCGAGGTTGATTTGCTCGTGTCCCGATTCTGCTGCGGGACCCGAGCCAGAAACCGTGTATCCTCCGGGCGAGAGCGGCGGTTCCCACCTCGGGGCACCGATAAGGAGGGTTTGATAAACGCGAACGAATCGCGCCCGTGCTGGCCGGGCGCCCGGGCCCTCCGCGCCCAGATTGCTGCGGGGGAGGGGATGCAGCCCGCTTGGCTCCCTTTTCCCGGCCGAGCTCCCCCTCCGGCGTCACGGTGGCGCCCCCGAGGCCAGAGCCGGGTGAGGGAACCTTGGCCAGGCTGCCCTGGGTCCAGAGGCTGCAAGCGAACGCCCCAAGCTACCCACCCGCACCTGACCTGTGTCTTTTGAGGGTAGCGAAAATGAGAAGAGACTTTTTAGAATTGCAGCCTGATTTTTTTTTTTTGCAAAACCAATATAGCCGTGCACCGTCACCCCAATAATAAGGACCGATCGAAACGGCCAGTCGGGCCAGCTCCTTTACGCGCGCGCTTTGGGCTCCAGGGCGGGCGAGGGGACTTATTGTACACTTGACAACCGAGCCGATTCGGGCGTTTCGCAACCGCGGAGGTGGGATCTGGTGCGGACCGGGGCTGAGGTGCGAAGCGCCAGCTGCTCCCGTGCGGCCGGGTGCCGGTCTGTATATGAACCGGCGGAAGACACTTGGAAGCAGGGGAACGTTATTACGACACAGCGGGCTGTCCTGTCTCCTTCGCTGGAAGACTGGCCCAGAGATAGAGGCGAGCAGAGAGGGAGGGCTTGGAGGGCGGCATTGCATAATCCAACTCCGACGTTTTCCCGAGAGAGCGGCCTCTTTAAGAAGCCCAGGAGGGTCAGGGGCAGTGCCCCGAGGCCGCTGCGGGTGGGGCCCGGAGCTGGTGGCCGAGCCCCGGGTGTCTGGGCGACTCCGGCCTTGATTTGTGCTGTTGTTGACTGGCAAACTGCTTGTCCCCCTTCTTCCGGAGGTCCAGTGTGGCACCTCCCCATCCGCGCTGGGCTGATTGCAGCGGCCACATAGTCACTCTTGCCCCTCCAGCCACTGACCTGCAGGCTCCTTGCCGAATAAGGTGCGATCAACTTCAGCGAATCCAGAATGAAGCCGTGAGCCCCAGTACCCTGAAGTGGCTCTCCTGGGCCTTCCCTGAGAGCTTCTCAAGCCCGGTGGGCCGTCCGCCCAAGGGGTTTTGCAGAGTTCTTGAATTGAGTTCCTTTCTGTACACCCCAGACGTTTCTCCCCCTGCCATCCCCCCCCCCCCCCCAAGGCAGGCCTTTCCCCGGGTTCTAACAACACGCCTTCAACAAATGTATAGGATTATTTTGCTTTGATTATGTATACCTCGATGGACTTGTTAATGTTTAATAATAAAGTGTTCGCTTTCTCAGCCGTGGCTGGCTTGCCCTGATGGACGGTACCTAAGAGTGCCCTTTTGGTAGTGGTGGACATTCTTGAGAGACGGGGTCAGAGAGAGACTGACCGGACAATACTAGTTCCACTTACCTCTCAATCTATCTCTGCCAGGAGTGAAGTGGAGGTCACTTTAAGCAGGATCTTGGATTCTTTGAAGTGCTTGAAAGTGGCTGAGTGACTGGCCACCTGATAAACAGTTTCAGCGGCCCTTCCTCGGAGAGAAGAGTTTTGAAATCCTGAGGAACAGGGTTTAGCTGGACAGAAGAGAGGTCCTTGGAAAATCAGGGATCAAAGTCTCGTCCCAAAGCCAGACCCAGAGCCAAGCATATTTCAGGAAGACTTAAATCATGGTGTTCAGTGTGGGGGTCACTGGCTCAAGAGGAGTTAGACGCAAGGAAATGTTCTGAGTTAAAATAAACTAGCTAAAATAGAATCAAACTTCGTCTTTTCCCAAGTCTGTAGGGAAAACAGACACGCTTGGGTCACTTTCCCCTCCTTGATTTTGGTGTATTTACAGAAATACTCCTTCCATGTTGGATAATATTTCCCTTGTATTGACCAGAGTGCAGAGATGGCAAAAAAAAAATGATAGAACTTATTATAGTTCTGTGAATTTAAAATTTAATTCTCATAGTTTTCATGAAGTGCGTTATAAGTATTATGGTTGGGAGTTTTTCCCGGTGCCACTGATGTTTGGGGTGAGTTTTTGAAGAGTACATGAAATCATCTAGTCAGATATTCATCATTTTGATGAAGAAACTAAGGCCAAGAGAAGTGGTTTATTCAGTCACCGGGAGAGGTTGTGCTGGTGCAGGTTAGAACCCTGAGCCATTACTTTAAATTAAGATGTGACCAGAAATAGCCCTAAGGCTTGACAGTAAGGATGTTTTTGGACATTTTGGAAAGTGAAGATGATTTCTAAAGTCTTAAAACTCCCTCTCCTCTCTCCCAGCAAGCCACTGAATCTATCTAAAGGAGCTTGAATCTTCTAGACTATTCAGTTGCAGCCTGAATGATTCTCTTTGCATTTCAGAAGCAAGGTTGGTGCCCATTCCAGGGTCTGGATGTTTGGGAAGTATGAATAAATTTTTTATTGTTAATAGATTGTTTACTCTCCCTTTATTTCACTTAGGGTAAAAAAAGAGTACTGGGGGTGACCCTCATAAACAAAATTAGTACAAGGACTGTGTCCTGGGCAGGGTAGGGGAATGGAGTGGGGGCGGGGGGGGGGGGCGGGGAACGAGCAGAGAGGATAGCTTGGAGAAGAGGAAAGCTCGGGTCAGCCCGTCGTCTGGCCTCTTCAATTTGATTCCGGTTTTAAGTGGAGTTGGCATTTTCACTAGGCATGAAAACCATGGACACCTGTTCTACTTAGTTTATTCAGATTGTGAATTAGTTCCTCCTCCTCTGCATGTGTGTGTGTGCGTGTGTGTGTGTGTGTGCGTGCGTGTGTGTGTGTAGAGTGAGCCTCAACTCCCTAGAATTCTGATGTGTAAAATATGTCTAAATAGAAGGCGTAAGTTAGAGAATTCTTGGTGCTGCGTAATTTTCACCCTACATCTGAAAATGTTTGCATAGAATTGTTCACCATTTAGGTTTTGCATTTCTCGGGAAGTACCTTGAGTACCATTTGCTTTTTCTGCTTTCCCCTCATCTGTCCCATATGTCAGCACCAGCTTTTCTTTTCTTTCTAGCCAAGTGCAGCTTCCTGTTTGCCTTTAGTCCTGGCCATCACTGATAGTTCGGGACAGGTAGGGGTTTGCATTATGATTATTAGCTGTGTTTGCCTGCAGGCCCCCCCCCCACATCCTTTGCCCTCTCCCTTTCGCTCCGTGCCCTCCCCGGTACCATGGCATGCCAGGGTATAAGACAAAGCGACAAAACGTGGACCCACTCATATGCTGCACAACATGTCAAAGAGGAAACGGGAAAAAAGGACGGGTCCTTGGAGTCCGTTGGTTTCCTTTGCCTGGGCACTGGAATATACAGGGAGATACAGGGAGCTGGAAGCTTCCATAGACCTATGGGGGTCAAATCTTGTGACTCAAAAGAAACTCCTGGGACATTTGAGTCAGTGACCACATACAAGCATGCAGGATTATGTGAATGCCTACTGTTTACTTGGGGGCGGGGAGGGGAGCTGGGCCATCATTTTTCCAAGAATATCCCAGCAGAGGTGGACCACCAGGGGCAAAGTGGGCTCTCAGGGAAGATGGACATCGGGGAGGGGGCAGCGTTGGGTCTATGGAGATAAAGGGAGTGGAAGAGTATAAGATGGGAGATTCCTGTCCCATCCTCTGGCATCCTTACCTGAAGGCCCCTAAATCTGAATGTCCTCTGTTCCTGCCACTCCTGACTTGGGGAACAGCATGACAGAGGTGTCTAAGGAGGGCTCCTGGGGTGCTGGAGCTAGAAGTTCTGGTCCCGCTGAGGGGACAGGCTGAGACAGCTCTGACCCCCTAAAGGCCAAGAAGGGCCTGAGTGCTTCTTCGCCCAGGCCTAGTGGGTTAGCTTTGGCGATTGGTCGGTGAGCCTCTGACACATGTCAACAG